ACCTGCTACCACCCCACCTCCGTCTGCCTGCCTGGTTGCCTAACCCAGAGCTGCGGATCCAGCTGCTGCCAGCCTTCCTGCCGCTGATCCTCTCCCCAAAGGACCATCATCATCCCATGACAGCCTTCTGTCAACTGACTTGCCATGCCCCAACACATTCACTTCCTACCTTTCCTGGAAAACATCATGCTATCACTGAAACATCTGTTACTCATCCACTTTTTTAAAAACTTGTGAATCAGCTTGTGGAAGTGCAGAGATCTTCAGTCTCATTCTCTTTGTCCTTATGCCTTGTGTATTCTGTTCCAGCTTCACATGCCCTTGACATGGGGTTAAGGTCACAGTTCTGATTCTGAAGACAAGATCTTCACTCTAAATAACTGAAGACAACACATCTTCATAAAAATTTCCATTTGTAAACCAATTTTATAAAAATGGGTTTCTTCAACAGATCAATAATCTTTGTAATCATGTTTTCTTTTACAATGTACTCAGGATTCTTTCATTGTCCTTTTTCTTTCATGATCACTTTGAGTTGTCTTCCTACACATAGGTAGTCTTAATAAATTCTGTACCATTATTCATCTCAAATTGCCTTTCCTTATTTTATTGTGGACGAACACTTGACGTGAGATCTATCTGTTCAAGAGGTTTTTAAGTGTACCATACATTATCACTGTATCACATACAGTAGGCGCAATGTCGTGCAGCAGATTCCTGGAACTTACTCCTCTTGCATAACTGAGATTTAGTACCCTTTGATTAGCAGCTCCCCATTTCCTCCTACCCCTAACCTCTGGAAATCACCATTCTATTCTTTACCTATGTGAGTTTCACTGTTGTAGAGACTTCATATTCATGGAATCAAATAGCACGTGTCCTTCTGTGGCTGGATTACTTCACTTAGCATAATGTCCTCAAGGTTCATCCATTTTATTGCAAATGACAGGATTTCCTTTTTCAAGGCTGAATAAAATTTCATTGCATGTATGTGCCTTGTATTGTTTATCCATTCATTCATTCATGAACATTTGGGCTGCTTCCACATCTTGGCTACTGTAAATAGTGCTGCCATGAACAAGGGAGTGCTGGTATCTCTTCAAGATCCTGTTTTCAATTTTTTTTTTTGATAAATACCCAAAAGAGGGATTGCTGGATCATTGGGTAGTTCTAATTTTAATTCTTTGAGGAATCTCCGTACTGTTTCCCATAGTGCTACATGATTTTACATTCCCACCAGTGCACAAGGATTCCAATTTCTCCACTTCTGTGTCAACATCTTTTCTCTGTTGGTTTTTTTTAATAATAACCAGACCTAATATTCCAATATTTCAATTACTTCACCATTGGAGTATTATTCCAATATTTGGTGACATCTGATGCATTCAGGAAAAAAATACCTGGTCTTGCCGAAGGAACTGGAAGACTCAAGGAACAACGTCCCTCTCCCCTGTGCTATGCTTGGCTGGTCACTGCCAGCGATTACATCCCTGCCTCCCCTAAGTCCAAATGTCCATGGCTGACCATGCCACTCCCTTTTAGGAAATACACATTCATTTTCACAAAATCATCAGCCAGATGTAAATTCTGCTCATTGAAGCCATTCTTCTCTTTAAGGTGCCTTTGCATAAATGGGCTCTGCCCCTATTTATGTCACTTTTAAGTTCCACTTTTCAAGGGCACCTTTCTCTCTGGTTTTCCTGTTTTATGGGGCTTGCATTATGGCACCCAAATTGTGATATTTCCCTTAAGTTAACATAAACTTTCATTTAGTTTTTTTCTGCCTTAACATTTAGGAGCCAATTATGAAATTACATGTTACAGAATCTAATTATATTTTAGGTAATTCAGAATTTCTTCTCCAAAGCCTTTCAAAGTCTAAATGTAGAACTCAGTAGAGCAGGTCTGTCTTTAGAAAGTTACAAGGGCTCCCATGTTTTATGTGTTTGCTAATCAGGTGATGATTGGTTATCACCAGCTTGTTATTAGTGATTCACCAATCGCAGTTTCCCCCCAGGTTCTCTTCAAGGAGTTTAGTAAGTACTTACCTATCCTGGAGCAATTTCCTCTTCCTATAATTTGAGCTGAAGGTTAAAGACAATACCTCAGTTATATTCTCTGGGTTAATACAATGCTGTTGTGGAAATGGCCCAGTATTACTTTCAGAAAATTGGTCTAGACTTTGTTGTCTTTGTTCAAAGTAGACAACAATGGTAGTTCTACTTGTATCTCTTTAAGGTATCTCCATATTGCTTTCCACAGAGGTTGCACTAATTTGCAGTCCCACCAGCAGTGTATGAGTGTTCCTACCTCTCCGCATCCACGCCAACATTTGTTGGTTTGGGTCTTTTTGATAAGGGCCAGTCTCACTGGAGATAGGTGATATCTCATTGTGGTTTTGATTTGAATTTCCCTGATGATTAGAGATGTTGAGCATTTTTTCGTATGTTTTTTGGCCATTATTCTGTCTTCTTTTGTAAAGTTTCTGTTCATATCCTTTGCCCACTTTTTGATAGGGCTGTTTGATTTTTTCTTGCTGATTTTTCTGAGTTCTAAATAGATTCTGGTTATCAGCCCTCTGTCGGATTTGCAGCA